ATACCAAACAAGGTATTTTCAACATTGTCTGATCATTGTCTGGAATGCAGCTCAATCTGGGGGACATAACGATAAGTTCCAATTCTCAGGAGAATGGAATTCTTTTGTTTTGTCCCCCAGATCGAGCTGCTTTGGCGTCGCATACAAGGGTTCTATTGATAAAAATTGATGATTTTTTATTATCTTTTATCCAGCTGTGAGCGCCAATAAGACTAGGACCATAAACGATGGTGATTGGTCAGTTTGTGAAGTGGGAAGGCATTTGACCGGTAAAACGTTGAGAGCAATTCTGACAAGTTTTAGTTAGCTTGGAAATGGTTTCCTATGTGATTTCTTCCTAGCAGAAATATAATATCCTGTACGTGGGCAGCGCTACTGGGTTCAATGTACTAATGAAATTGGAATGGAATCAATCTAAGACACTCTAATGCTAAAAAGTCTCATTACGTAGTCTAGACCAACTTGGCAACAAATTTTTGTTTGAAACTTTGAAAACAATATCCTTCATATATATATATATATTTTTTTTTTTCAATAAATATAATTATATGAAGAATATTTATATAAAAGGGGTCTTAAAGAGGAGATGGGTGTGTTCTATTGATTGAAAAAAATTGGGAAAACTTCAAATTTAAACACAGTGTTTAAAAGGTCTTCAATCCGAATATCACACCAAAGGGGTCTTGAGTAAATTTTCTTCATATATATATATATACACACACAGCCATTTGCAAAAATTATGGCCGCTTCCAATATATATACATATGTATGTCAAAAGCAAACCAAAAATTATGGGATATCATCCCTGATATTTTTTTCGAGTTGTCAATCACTAGGACTTTCTGAAAAAAATATCAAGAAAGATATCCTGTCGTGTATACTTTTGATATACTTGCATGTATTTTGAAACGGTCATAATTTTTGCAAATGGCTGTGTGTATACAGTCAATTCAAAAAACGTTGTCGTCGATCGGCTCAAGCCTACGCGACTGCACCGAAAGGAATATGGGTAAAAATCACTGAAGCGGTTAAATATTCGTTCTGAATTAATTGTTCCCGCTAGAAAAAAGATAATAATGGCGAGAAACAATCCATCAAATGCATGTCTTCTGGTTTAGGGAAAGAAAAACAAAGTAGTTATGATTCAGTTCACAATTTCGAAAATATGAAGGCATTAAAAAAACGTTTCCTTCAACACTTCCCGCTCGCCTACGAAGGTTTGTGCTGTAAASCAGGCATAACTAGTCAGATAAAATTATGGAGTCAACTCGGCTTCAATGATTGCRACCCAGAGTTCCTTTCGGTCCAGTCGCGTAGACTTGAGTAGGTTGACGACAACATTTTTTGAATTGACTGTATATATATATACAACAGTAAGACGTATGTGTGTATAAAACATGAGCACTATGAGAAGTAAGTAAGTAAGAAAGAAAGAAGGAAAGAAAGAAAGAAAGAAAAAAAGAGATTAAACACCTGTTTTCTCATTCTGTTTTAGTAAAGCAGAAAAAGATTAGGTTTGTAAAGAGTCTCTTAACTGTTTATCTCCGTTTTTATGAAGACCAAAAAACAGCTGAACTTTACAATCAAATATCACTAAAAAATCGAGATTTAAGACTTCAAGAATATTGAATAACTTAATTTCCTTAAGAATAATAATGAAACGACGWGGTGAAAAAACGTATTTCTTTCTTGATATTCTCCCTCCATGATACATTAAATTTGTGGCTTTCTTACCTTGAGAAAAAAGTGAACGCAGAGAATGTAAAAAATCTACTCCCTTTGTCGACCCGCAGGACAGACTGCATGAGGAAGAAAGCTCAAACTAGTAGAACCTCCATACGACTTGAAACCTGTTACGAATCATTGTCCTCACACCTTTCTCCTTTACATAAAAATGCCGCCTTTAAAATATAGTTTTCCTTCTTCAATAATGGTGATGATGCTATTGTTCTATATAGAGTGTGTTTACGTCGATACTCAGACATCTGGGTACATATCTTGATCTTAAAACAATTATTAGTTGTAGAAATAATTGAAGAGAGATTGCCCGAGGGCCTCATAAAATATCGTAATGTGGTACACGTTGAATTGAACAATTAATTGTGTTTACCTAATGCAATAGCGCTACCATTAACGATGTTATGACAAAGAGAGAGAGAGAGAGAGAGAGAGAGAGAGAGAGAGAGAGAGATTTTGCACGTTATGCCATTATAAAGTGACGTTAACTTGTTTTCTATAAAAATATAATTAATTTTGCTTCCT